CACACACACACACACACACACACACACAAACAACCTCCGCACTCCCCCTCCACCCCCCAAAACAAACCCCATTCACATTCTCATTAACACACATAATATTTTGTTCTGATGTATTATCTCATACTCCAGCCACCAACCAGTAACTAATCTCCACTTTGTTCCTCTATTTTCCTCCACAGCTCGACATGTACAGCTTGGGAGTGACAATGTGGGTCTGCTTTTACAAGAAGTACCCGCTCTGTTTCGACCCTCTGGCTAGCTCGGACTACTGCGAGATGGTCAAGGATCCTTACAGGACAGTTCTCCTCCACCTACTTCACGAGGATCCCGAGCAACGTTGGAGCGCCTCAGATCTGCTCCGCGAAGCGTCTTTGACGTTGAGCACCCCCGAGGCTTAGTTCCGGTATCCTCGAGCACCCCCAAGGAGGACACCCCTCCCCCTGCCACTGCCATAGATTGGGATGTCTTCGAATTGTCACCATCGCCGGACCATGAGAGACTTCATCTTGAAGAAAGTGATGATGATTTCTACGAGTAAGTAAGTGTTGATCTCTCTCTCTCTCTCTCTCTCTCTCTCTCTCTCTCTCTCTCTCTCTCTCTCTCTCTCTCTCTGCGTGTGTGTGTGCGTGTGTGCTATGTGTGTTTGTGTGTGTTTGCATTATGTGTGTGCCTTTTGTGTGATTGCGTGTGTATTATGTATGTGTGTATGTGTATACGCGCGCGCGCGCGTGTGTGTGTTTGTGTGTGTGCGTGTGTGTGTGTGTGTCTGTGTGTGTGTGTGTGTGTGTGTGTGTCTGTGGTTGCGTGTGCATGCTTCTCGGTGTCAGTATGTGTTATTTGTAATTGTATTCATGTGTTTTCCTGCTCCTATAGGGAAAAGGGTTGCTGGGGAGGGGGAGGGGGGTGTAAAAGCTAATAATTTCTTTTTTAGAGAAGAAAAAGGGCTGGGAATGGGGGAGTGGAGGGTTCTTTTTATCTTAGAGACAAAAGGGAAAATAGTGGGG